GCATGTAGAGCAGAAGCTGAGAGTTCACATCTTCAGTGGCAAATATTAAACAGTGAACTGAAAGTAGAGTGAAGCTATTACTTCTCAAAGGCTGTCCTAAGTAACAGACTTCCACCAGCATGTTTACACCATCTAAGTCTCCCCAAACAGTGACATGAATTGAGGACACATATTCAAATACACCAGCCTATGGAGGATGTTTCTCATTTAAACAACCACAGGCCTGAAACTCACTGGATAGCCAATGCTCTCTGGCCAGTGAACCCCATGAACCTACCTCATTCTGACTCTCCAATACTGGCAATACTAGCATGTATTGCCATGTCTGATTTTATACATGGGTCTAGGAATTAAATGATGTAATTCTGATTACAAGGCAACTGTATTACTTACCAAACTCTCTCCCTACCCCTACCCAGACTCATTATTAATGAAAGCATTTGTATCTTAGTATTGAGTTAAGCACAAACCCCTTATTTACTTATTGATAATCTTATATTTTTATTATTTCAGTATGTAACAACTGGCAAAAACTGTTATTGATTAGTCATTAAGAAAAAATGTATTTTGTGCTGTTGATGATTTATACTATGATGGCCATATTTATTTCATTTAATTATTTTAAAAGATGAAAGACAATTATTTAATTTTATTTGGGAAACTAACTTTAATAAATTAATATGTATTGATTAATCTTTATAATAATCACAATTAAAATATTTATAAATTTTGTCAAAACATTGTGTAGGGACTATAAAACATTCATTGCATTAGTAGTCAATATAGAATAATTCATTTTCAGAAACAAAGCCAATCATTTTATTATTGTAATTGGTAATGATTTGCATATCAAATGAAAATTTAGTATTAGAGTTAAAATGAGATGTGAATTCATAAAATATATTCACCATACAACATCATTACAGTATATTAGAGGTTTTGGTTAATAAATGACAAATATATATTATGTCTTTGGATTATGGCCAATGATTAACACATAAATGAGGCTTAAAACAACAGACCTGTTCTCCCACAGTCCTTAAAGTCAGAAGTCTGGAATGTAAGCCGGGCGATGTGAATCTGTGTTATGTGTTTGCTTGTGTACTCCACACCTCCATTTAGATCCTCTGTACCACCAAAACAAACAGACACACACAAAAGCAAATAAACAAACAAAAGTGTTTTTATAGCCCAAGCAACAGAGTTTGGTGGCACATATCTATAATCTCAACACAAAGTAAATTAGATTTGAGACCACCAGCCTGTGCTTGCTACAGCTTGAGAGACGTTCTCAAACTAGTTAATTATACAGTCTTTTAGAACTCTAAAGTCAGTACCACTAAGCAGAAATCATGAGGGTCATTATTGTACTACAATCTCTCAGAAGAGCTAGGAAAGAATGCATTCCTTGGTTCTTCTAGAGGCTGATATATGCGTTATTAGTGAGGTCAAAGCATACATTCACTAACGACAGCATATTTGTTTCTCTCAGCTTCTTAACCGATGACCTATCCTTTATATCAAATAACCATCTGCTTTTAATTTTTGTAAAATTTTATTTTTTTCTCTCTCCTCCCACTCCCCAGCCCTCTCCCCCAATCCACCACCCACTCCCACCTCTCCAAGGCAAGTCTCCTCTGGGGAGTCAACACAATTTGGTAGATTCAGTTGAGGCAGGTCCAGTCCCCTCCTCCCTGCACCAAGGCTGAGCAAAGTGTCCCAGAATAGGCCCCAGGCTCCAAAAGGCCAGCTCATGCACCAAGGACAGGTCCCAGTCCCACTGCCTGGGGGCCTCCTAAACAGTTCAAGCTAATCAACTGTCTCACCCATCCAGAGGGCCTGATCCAGTTCCATGGGGGCTCCTCAGCCGCTGACTCACACTTCATGTGTTTCTATTAGTTTGGCTATTTTTCCCTGTGCTTTTTCCAATCATGGTCTCAATATCTCTTGTTCATATACTCTCTTCTCTCTCCCACCGATTAGACTCCTAGAGCTCCACCTAGGGTTTGGCCGTGGATCTCTGCATCTGCTTCCATCAGTCACTGGGTGAAAGTTCTATCATGACAGTTAGGGTGTTTGGCCATGCGGTCACCAGAGTAGGTCAACTCAGGCACTCTCTCGACCATTGCCAGTAGTCTATAGTGGAGGTATTTTTATGGATTTCTGGGGACCTCTCTAGCACTCTGCTTCTTCCTATTCCCATGGGGTTTTGATTTATCATGGTATCTCTTTCCGTGTTCTCCCTCTCTGTTCCTGATCCAGCTGGGACATCCTGCTCCCCTAAGCTCTCTTTCCCTTGACCCTTGGCCTCCATTAACCCGCCTCACCCCCTCTTTGCCCATGCAGATCCCATCCACTTCTCTGTCACTGGGCAATCCCTATGTCTCTCCTAGGGTCCTCTTTACTAGGTAGCCTCCCTGGAGTTGTGAGTTGCAGTCCTGGTATCCTTTGATTTACATCTAGTATCCACTTATGAGTGAGTACATACCATGTTTGTCTTTCTGAGTCTGGATTACCTCACTCAGGATGATATTTTCTAGTTCCGTCCATTTGCCTGCAAACCTTGTGATGTCATTGTTTTTCTCTGCTGAGTAGTACTCCATTGTGCATATGTACCACATTTTATTTATCCATTCTTCAGTTGAAGGGCATCTAGGTTGTTTCCAGGTTCTGGCTGTTACAAACAATGCTAATATGAACATAGCAGAGCATGTGTCCTTGTGTATATACACAAGAGTAGTATAGCTGGGTCTTGGGGGAGGTTGACTCCCAATTTTCTAAGAAAAAGCCATATTGATTTTCAAAGTGGCTGTACAAGTTTACATTCCCACCAACAGTGTAGGAATGTTCCCCTTGCTCCACATCCTCTTCAACATAAGCTGTCTTCAGTGTTTTTGATCTTAGCCATTCTGATGAGTGTAAGATGGCATCTCAGAGTTGTTTTGATTAGCATTTCCCTGATGATTAGGGATGTTGAGCAATACCTTAAATGTCTTTCAGCCATTTGAGCTTCTTCTCTTGAGAATTTTTGTTTAGCTCTATAGCCCATTTCTTAATTGGACTGTTGGTCGTTTTGATGTCTAATTTTTTGAGTTCTTTATATATTCTGAATATCAGCCCTCTGTCAGATGTGGGGTTAGTGAAGATCTTTTCCCATTCTGTAGGCTGCTGTTTTGTCTTATTGACCGTGTCCTTTGCTCTACAAAAGCTTCTCAATTTCAAAAGGTCCCATTAATTAATTGTTTCTCTTGGTGTCTGTGCTACTGGTGTTATATTTAGGAAGTGATCTCCAGAGCCAGTGCATTTAAGGCTGCTTCCTACTTTCTCTTCTATCAGGTTCAGAATAACTGGATTTATGTTGAGGTCTTTGATCCACTTGCACTTAAGTTTTGTGCACGGTGACAGATATGGATCTATTTGCAGTCTTCTAAATGTTGACATCCAGTTATGCCAGCACCATGTGTTGAAGATGCTTTCTTTTTTTTCCTTCGTACAGTTTTGGCTTCTTTGTCAAAAATCTACTTTTAATTTTTAAGTATATGTATGAAGCTATATATACATTTTTGGCTTACTGAGGTAATCCAGGAAAATCTTATTATGCCAAAATTCTTTTTAATCTCATCTGCAAGGATTTTCTTGACATGTAAGTAGAAATTTACACAATGTATGTATCAGACAAAAAGGTCTTTGAGACAATTCCATGTATTATAGATCATCATAAGCGTCCGTTCCTATCAACTATAAAACATTATTATAATAACCAGCACTCTTATAGGCCAATGTCACTATAAAATAGGATGTATTACTAAAGAAACTTTAAAATAAATCCTTCATTAAAGGCAACCAAATATGTTTTGAGAAATGACCTTGTTTACAGCTGAGACAAAAATACTGTGATTAAATATTAATAATAATTTAATATTAATATTACTGTTATCTTAATGTGGGATATCATATCATTCTAGCAGATACATGCTCAATGAACAAATCAGTATGTTATTAAAAAATGAAATGTAAATTAAAGAGTTCACAAAGACCAAAGATGAACTCATTTGAGCTACAAACTAACCAACACAGTATTAATTAGATTACAACTCACAATACTAGATAGAAAACTGAGTTCCCACTGGTGCACATAAATCATTGAATAAGTGTATGAATTGATGAATGATCAAATAATGAAAGAAAGGTCACAAATAGGGAAATATTTCTTATAAAAAATTATAAGCTTTTAGCAAAGTATTTCTCCCATGAACATGCATAACTTAACCTCTCTTGAGTTTTGACTGTTCATGTGTTTGAACTCAATACTGTATATATTACAAAGGGAGATCCTAAGTAACTTCAAGGTAAAGAGCTTTGTATTTCTTTTTTCCTTGTGAGCATAGCCTTTAAAAGCTGAGCCATCTCTCTTGCCCAAAGGAACTGTGTAATAAACCACAATTAACACTTAATATCAAAAGCGTAAGTTATGTTGACAAGCTCCCTGGTTATAAAGGAATGTGAATGACTCTTAACTTCTAGATCTCTCCCTTCAACCCCTCTTCACAGTCTAACCAGGTGAAATGCAGGCGATAAATTTCAGGTGAGGCCCATGTTCTGTACTATGTAAAATGAACATTACTTTTCAAAATTTTCATGATTACTAAAAGCAAGGAAAGCCTAAAAAATAAACTACATTTACAATAGGAAGCAGAGGACACTCAATGACTAAAGTGTGGTACCCAGGTATGAAAAATTGAAATCAAGAGAAGCATGAAACAATGAATCAGTATTTGCTACTTATGGTGTAGTTATCGCAATCTGTCAGAAGCTGTGGCCAGTGTACCTTCATAAGATTCTGATGAAATAGTAGATTCTGATGTTAATGAGATAATAAATTGTTGGGTTCCTATGAACTTCCCATCTTGTATTGACATGTTTTAATTTAATAGAATTTACAAACACATACATGTTTAAAGGTAGTGGACATTCACATTCTGTGTATGCTTTTTTTCTAGCTCAGTTACCTGACTGGTCCATTTTCTGGGGATTGTAATCAAGTTGGAACTCAATAGAAGTCTGGAGTACTGAGAGGATGGTAGCCTTTTTAAAGGTTGGTGACATATCTTATCCAGAATATGTGCCTTTTAGCTCAAAATAAATACCTCCAAGAACAAATTCATATAAAGCTTTAAAATATTTATTTCATCTTAAATTGGAATATTAAAGTTTTTATATATTTATAGAAGGTTATTCTAGATTTCATGAAACTGATGTGATCTTTTCTTTTTCCAAGGAGTCTATTTTATTTCTTTATAATATTTTCTCATACCTTTTAAATGAATATATAGATTTGAGAAAACCTAGCAGTTTTCTTTTTCTTAAAACAAAACAAAACAAAAACCACAAACAAATGGATATCCTTTTTCTACCATCTGTTTTATGATACATTTTCTACCCTTTCATAATTGGTGACAGTATTTGTGCTCAGCCACATGTGTCTCATGATGATGGTATATATCAGAAGGAGGTTTTAAATGAGGATACAGAAAGTAACACACTTTCTCATCTTTATGATTTTTATTACGGCTCAGCTATGTTCAGTTGCTGTTTTGCTGGCAACTCTAGACTGGTTTTCCTTGTGGATGGCAAGGATCTGCCCCCTGATATTTAAACATTTAGTTAACCTTTATGGACACAGCAATTAAACTGCTTCTGTGACACTTCCCATCTGGTAATGATAGAATCTATTCTTAGGATCTAGTTGAAACAGCCTTGGTATTCTCTGTTCCTGATCAGTGATCAATTAAGATTAACCATTACTGGAGAATTTCAGAAAGAAAAGGGTAAAGGGGTAAGGCAGGCACGTCATTAAACCCATGTGCCTCTATGGATCTTGCTGTAGTATTTGTAAAAAATTCTTCATGCATGCTGGTATTTGGTAGGTATAAAACTGAATATTTTTATTATGTCATTTGTGAGATTAACTTATTCAAAGCATGGTGGACTTCAATCTATTTCTATAACATCAAGTAATTCCAACTGTTGGCTTGAGTAAAAGTTGTACAGTGTTTGGATAAATTTTCCAAATAAAAGTAAACTTTAAAGTGAAATTAACTGTTTTGTGTTTCAAGGGTGGATCTCTGTCTCCTTTGGTCATCTATTTTTTTTATTAATAATTGTCATCAATATTTAAATTTTTATTTGGGAAGTAGCTTATCTTGATATTGAAAATCTGATTTATTGAAAAGATATATCTATTCTTAAATCTTTTATCATGATTGATTTTGGAGTAAGATTTTTATTATGCATTATAAATATAATAATATAAATTAATATTCCTATTAATACCTGTCATTGGTACGTTGCCCTCTTATAAGCCTATGATTACTTCAATCTAGATACTTTATATAATGTAAAATGAATTTGTTAATACTAAGCCTTCTAAAGTAATTGTTAATATATATTTGTAGTGATGAAAATCACTCCCAAGGCCTCATAGAGCTAGACAAATGTTTTATAACTGACCATCATGCACAGACTCAATTAAAAACACTGAATGTGTCTTTTTCTCCTAAATTAAAGAACAGAAATTCAATCTTCTTAAGGGTCTTGTGTTTCATTCTGTGACCTAACTGAATTTGTAACAAAGACTAAAAAGAAGTTGATAATTTTTTTGTATAGGATAATTTAAAGATCTCAACTTGATAAAAGACAACATAAAAATATCAAGATGATCAGGCCTCATTAATGAGAATGCATTTCCCACTGTTTAAGATATTGAAAGAGAATATTTTTGACAATGTTTTCTTAATATTTTCACAAAATTCACCTGTGAAAGCAGTACTGAAACTAACCTCCTTAGAATCAAATAATGAAATGTCTATCGATAATAAAGCTATAGGTATATAAAATTGACCTTATTAATAAGAATGTTGTATTTTATTATTTTAATTTCAAATAGAGCATACTCTGGGGTCCATTTTAGCTCAATAATTTCTTATAATTATCATTGAACAACAGGAGAAATGTTAACTTCTGAAACATGTTACTAAATTCAGTAAACAATTATACTTAGGACTTCTCTGTTAAATACATTGACTTCTTATAGATAACCATATTTATTATATAGATCATGACAAAAATAAAAAGTAGGGAATTTTGTCTGGCAAACTTTAAAGCATTTAGATATTTATGAAATTAAGTGGATATTCAGTATAAGAAAATTTGGCAGATAAATCTGGAAGAGTAGATGACGGAGATCAGTGAAAGGGACTAGAGTATGGGGTTCTGTTACACAGAATACAATATTTTGTTGTTGCTGTTTATTTTTGAATGTAGAAAGAAACACCTGAACAGGGTTGTAGCTAGGGGACAGCAGGGAATGGGTTCCTAAGATAATTATTTGACAGTACAGTTAGTACATATAAGTTTCTGACATTTTAGAAGCCCAAGTTTAATTTTGTTCTGTGCACCCTTTCCTACACAAAGTAAAGAAAATTGCTTGTATTTATTTGATAGTAAAGACATTAATTTTTCTTGAGGGATATTTATGTTGTATGAGACTTTAAATAAAAATATTCAGGATTGAAGCTTAGTTGTTTTTGGGGGGATGTTTTAAAAATTTTTGGTGGTGAGGAGACAAACTTGAGGTGAAAATAATGTTTTCAAAATGAGCTCTTGACAGAAAGAGACAAGCAGATATAGGAACTATCTTTGGAGAGAGAAAAAATAAGTCCTCAGAGTATCAGTTTGAGTGGCAGGTCCTGACCCTCAGGAAACACCAGCTCAGAGCTGCTGATGAGGTGAAACTCACATCCTGATGGAGACAGAGCAAGCAGCAGGACTGCTCAGCTGGAGTGAGGAGGACATTTCTGCTTCCAATGCTCACAGGACTCTGCTGACTTCACCACTGGGGCTCCAAACATGATTCCCAGAACCTTAATTTTAAATGGACTTTTTAAGAAACAAGTAGAGATCCACTTGTAAATTGTTACTACAGTTTCTCCAGCTAGGATTTACTTTGGGTGGTAATTAGCAGATCTAAAGGAAATAAATGGAGAGAATGCCTAATTTGGGGGATTGTCAAAGGTTAATAACTTGAGACATGCCTATTAGGATCTCACAATGGTCTTGTCATTGGGAATTATGTTTCATCATCCACATAAATTAACAAGTATGGAAAAGACAAGGAAATGAAGAATCAATTGATTATTTCAACCTGACCTCTTTCAGAATTTTCATTCAAAAGAAAGATTCTCCCAGTCTTTACCATGACTACAAATTTCCAGAACTGTTAAACCAAGTTCACTTTGAGAACTATCAGCAGAAGAAATTCTACAAAGATTCTCCCATTTTACACAATTTTCTTCTTCATTTATTTGTTTAATTTTTAATTTTAAGTGTCATAGGACACAGTGTGGCACTAAAATATTCAAGACTGACAGAGCAAGGGTCATTTGCATGGATTTTATTCCATGGAACAATTTTCAATGACTTTTAAATGTCACTGTTTTGTGTAAACCTTAAGATGCTATCCTTTCAATAACGATAAAAGACACAGGAATAAAAATGTAGTTTTTGCTTTTCTTGTATCTTTAAAATTGTCCTGGTCATATGCTGTGCCACTTTAATATTACATGTCAAGTCACAGTATAGGACATTGCTATATCATTCTAGTTAGCTAGCATTCCCTCAGTACATAAGCAGTGAGCATAGAGATCCTTTGTTCTAATAAAAAAGTACTGCAGGCGAGATGAAGAGAATGCTCGGTTATGGTCTATGGAACAACAATCCATAATTTACTTTGCAGATGTCTGTGTAATTTAAGCAGCAGGCAGAACAAGTGCACAGTTGTAGCTGCTCCAGGGAGAGGATATCAAGAGGCTCATAAATCATGGTGAGGATTAAAAGCCATGAGCATTCATCTTCTTAACCCTGTAATGCAATCTGGAAGCGCCAAGTATCACAACACACAGAGCAACACCCTTTGTGCAGGGAGAGAAGGTGTCAGCGATGTGAAGACTTCTCTCAATTAGCAATGACCTCCTGATTTGCAAGTCAGCGGAACATGATTTTAAAGTTGATTAAAAAGATACCTCCTACATACTAAATTAAATTGAATAAGCAACAAAGTACATTTCTGGGCGATAGAAAACCTACTTAAGCCACAGAGAAATGTTAATAATTTGTTAGAGTGAATACATTTCTTCCAGAACAGTATATAGAAAATCACCTTAAAGCTATCTAATCCCCATAGGTCCTTATGTTGAGACAACAATAACTTTTTTTTTAACTTCCTTTCATTTTACATATCAACCCCAATGCCATCTCTCCTCTTCTCTCCCCACGCCCACCCCCAAGACATTCCATCCCTCATCCACTCCTTAGAGGGGGTAAGGCCTCCTATGGGGAGTCAACAAAGTCTTACATGACAATTTGAGGCAGGACCAAGCCCCTCCCTACTGCATCAAGACAGTCTAAGGTATTCCACTATAGGAATGGGCTCCAAAAAGTCAGTTCATGCACCTGGGAGAAGTCCTGACCTCACTACCAGGGGCCCCACAAACAGATCAAGCCACACAACTGTCACCCACATTCAGAGGGCCTACGAGGTCTCACACAGGTTCCTCAGCATTCAGTCCAGGGTCCATGAGCTCTCACTAGCTCCAGTCAGCTGTCTGCGGTTGTCCCTGTCATGCTCTTGACCCTCCTTGCTTATATGGTGTCTCCTCCCTTTCTTCATCTAGACTCAGGGAGCTCAGCCCAATGCTTGGCTGTGGATCACTGCGTCTGCTTCCATCAATTACTGGATGTAGGTTCTGTGATGACAGTTAGAGCAGTCACCAATCCGATTACAGGGAAGGCCAGCTTAGGCACCCTCTCCACTATTGCTAAGAGTCTTAGCTAGGGTCATCCTTGTGGATTCTTGGGAATTTCCTTAGTACCAGGTTTCTCCCTAACCCCATAATGTCTCCCTCTATCAAGATATCTCTTTCATTGTTCTCCCTTTCTGGCCCCCCAAATCGGCCATCATGAACCCTCATGTTCCCTTCCCCCATCCCCTCCCTTCTACTCCCCCCTCCCAGTTTACCCAGGAGATCTTAACTATTT